AGAAGAAGAATGAAGAAGAAAAGAAAATTAAAAGAAGAATGAAAAGAATGAAGAAGAATGAAAGAAGAAGAAGAAGAATGAAAAGAAGAAGAATGAAAAAGAATGAAAGAAGAAGAAAAGAAGAAAAGAAAGAAGAATGAAAAAGAAGAAGAAGAAGAATGAAAAGAAGAAGAAGAAGAATGAAAAGAAGAAGAAGAAGAATGAAAAGAAGAATGAGAAGAAGAATGAAAAGAAGATGAAAAGAAGAATGAGAAGAATGAAAAGAAGAATGAAAAGAAGAAGAAGAAGAATGAAAAGAAGAATGAGAAGAAGAATGAAAAGAAGAATGAAAGAAAAGAAGAAGAAGAAGAATGAAAAGAAGAAGAATGAAAAGAAGAATGAAAAGAAGAAGAAGAAAAGAAGAAGAAGAAGAATGAAAAGAAGAAGAATGAAAAGAAGAAGAAGAATGAAAAGAAGAATGAAAAGAAGAAGAAGAAGAATGAAAAGAAGAAGAATGAAAAGAAGAATGAAAAGAAGAAGAAGAAGAATGAAAAGAAGAAGAATGAAAAGAAGAATGAAAAGAAGAAGAAGAAGAATGAAGAAGAAGAAGAATGAAAAGAAGAAGAATGAAAAGAAGAAGAAGAAGAATGAAAAGAAGAATGAAAAGAAGAAGAAGAAGAATGAAAAGAAGAAGAAGAAGAATGAAAAGAAGAATGAAAAGAAGAAGAAGAAGAAGAATGAAAAGAAGAAGAAGAAGAAGAATGAAAAGAAGAATGAAAAGAAGAAGAAGAAGAAGAATGAAAAGAAGAAGAAGAATGAAAAGAAGAAGAATTAAAGTACAGCAAAAAGTGTATCTGCAGAGAGCTCCGCTATTTCTGACAGTTCTCTGACAGTTCCTTCACATTTACAGCGGTTCAAACATTGTATCTATTTATTTCCGAATAAAAACATCTGTATCCTAAATGGAAACAAATAGATACAATGTTTCAACCGCTGTAAATGAACTGTCAGAACTGTCAGAAATAGCGGAGCTCTCTGCAGTGACACTTTTGCCGGCTCATCGGGAAAAATTCGATTCGTGCACCCGAAGTTTGCTAAAATTCGGATTCGATGCGAATCGAATTTTTCCTGATATTCGAAACGAATTCCACTTCGCCAGGTTCGATTCGCTCATCTCTAATTGCCACCCTCAAACAGGAAGTCGTCTCATAGACCAAAAAAAAGCAAAAGTATTTTTTGGGTTAAGAATTTACACTTGAATGGAGTTTTTAAGGAAAGAGGCACAACTTATGATCTAAGCCCACTGCATTCAGAAAAGGGGCCTGCAATGTATACTTGGTACCATTTTGCTAGGTGTGGAAATTGGACTAAAAAATATACAATCTACGCAAGAAAATCATTTGCCCTTAGGTTACTGGTGATTTCTAAAAAGAATGATAGGGGTGACTTTTAAATTCCTCTTACAACCAATGATGAATCAAGGGAACTAGTCTTCAATGAATAATTGTTTTGCTGTTGACAGTATAAGAAGGGCCTTGTTCACTAAAATTCAGACACATTTACCTGTTAAGCCTCTGGCATCGACAACGCCTAAAAAAGTAATTGCTAAATTTGGTGACAAAAATAGGATTCGCAACCATGGAAACACCTATATTGGCTGTTCCTGCCGTTAGTTATAACATAGATCTTTGACAGGTGAAGAGAGTAAATGCCATATTGAAGTAAATACCTAAAGCTAGAATTTTTAGTAGCTTGAATGCTTCTTATGCGGTATTTAACAAGCAGGCAGGATTGAGTACAGCAGCTCTCCATAGGAAATCAAAGCTGAATCATAGATAAAATAAATGATTCACAATTGGAAAATGCTTTTTGTTCCAAAATTATCACGGCAAGTTAATGTAAAACTGGCTGAATTACAAATATTTTGAATGTTACTGCGACATGGATTTTCCATTAACCTCTTCACGCCAGCCGAACGAAAATGTGCGGCCTCCCGGCGTCTGGGTCTAGACGCCGAGCGGCCTCACATTTGCGTTCTATTAAAAAAGAACATATGTGCTGAGAGTGCTCCCTGCGCGCTCCCAGCACACGTCTGGTACTCACGGAAAGGTACCGATCTTCTCTTTCGATCTGAACTTTTCCCGATCATGTGACCGCCGTGATGGCATGTCACGGTGGTCACATGACCCTAAACCCCGCCTCCCGGCTTCTGAAACCCTTAAAAGGTGGGAGGCGCTGGTGTGAAGGGGTTAAAGTAGTGAATTTGGAGGAGAGCACTCTTAGTTCCCAGCACTGCTAGAGAACTAACCATGCTGTGATCTCCTGGTTAATGTGGTCCCTCCCCACATGCCAAGGTACTGTGTGTAATCCTAGACTCTGACCTCTCCTCACCCCAACATCCAATCACGGGGTAAATCCTAGTGCTTCAACCTCCTCAACAGTTCCAGAATTTGCCCCTTCCTGAATTTTGTCACCACAAAACATATCTACTCCTTGGTTATATTCCACCTTGACTACTGCAACTCCCTCCTCACTGGCCTACCTTTACACAGAGTATCCCCCCTTCAATCTATTATGAATACTGCTGCTAGACAAATACACCTTACTGACCGATCTGTGACTGCTGCCCTTCTCTGCCAATCCTCCACTGGCTTTCACTAGCCCAACGTATAAAATTCAAAATACTAACCACACAACGTACAAAGCCATCCACAACACTGCCCCCAGCTATATTACCAACCTCATCTGCAGATATCACCCAAATTGTCCTCTCTGCTCATCCCAAGACGTCTTGCTCTCTAGCTCCCTTGTTACCTCCTCCCACACTCACCTCCAGGATTTTGCCAGAACCTCTCCCATCCTCTGGAACTTCCTACCCCAGTATGTCTGGCCAGCTCCTACCCTGTCCGCCTTTAGGTGATCCTTACAAACTCATTTATTAAGGGAAGCCTACCCCACCTCCATCTAAAAAAAAGCCATACTGGAGTTACCTTCATCAGATCATCCCCTGCAGCTATTACCTTTTGTACCATCTACCTCTCCCTTTAGATTGTAAGCTCCATGAGCAAGGCCCTCCTAGTTCTTCTGTACTGAACTGCATTGTAATTGTACTGTCCCCCTTTATATTGTGAAGCACTGTGCAAACTATTGGCACTATACAAATCCTGTATTATAATAATAATAATCGTTCATTTGGACCAAGCTGCCCCAAACAAATACACCTTACTGACCCCAACATCCAATCACAGGCTAAATCCTAGTGCCTCAATCTCCTCAACAGTTCTAGAATTTGCCCCTTCCTGACTAATGACACCAATAACAGATGCAGTGGCTGTCAATGCTGTATAAACTGTCTACATACAGCACACACTGCTCTGAAAATGGTGTAGGGACTTCCTATCCTGGAAGTAAAAAAAAGCAGTTTTATGAATGAATATAAGATGTCCTCTGATTGGCTGAGTGGAGATGCCCTGGAGCACTAAGACAGTGGAAACACCTACAAAATAACCACATGTTGGAAAGCAAACACCTCAAGGTATTTTTTAAGAGGCATGGTGAGTCTTTTGAAGTCTTCATTTATTTGCCACATGTTTTTGGAAAATGTAGAAAGAAAGTGAAATTAAAGTTTTTTGCAAACAGTTGTCAATTTACTAGGATATTTCTCACAGATAGCATGGGGATACTTAGAATGGAAACCCAAAACACATCCTGCTACTCTTCCTGAGTATAGTGATGCCACATGTGTGAGACTTTTTCACTATTTGGACTGAATATGTACTGGACGTTGTATCTTGTGTATCATGCAGTTCAACCAACTATATCAAAAGCAATGTACTGTAATGGTCACCTCTATATGAATGGTCAGGGAATAGAGATTAGTGTAGCATCACCTATAGTAGTCCTTGTTCCTATAAGCCAAGCAAGCCTAGCTTACTGGTACATGGCTGGCCCTAGGAATGCCATATTCATTGGCCAGGAGGTACAGGAGGCTAAAGGAAGGAAGAGCTAAAGAGTTCCTGTGGTTCCAGGAGTGCAGTTATCCTTAGGGGATCTCTGGGACTGGTTTCTCAAAGGAAACAGTCAGCTGGAGATGCAGAAGGGTCAGTTCAGACTGCAGGCAGAGGCATGGTCAGCAAACAGACAAAGGATTGGTCCATGCAACAGGCCAATGACATGGTCAATAAACAGGCTAGGGTTAGTACAGGCAGCAGGCAGAGGCAACACTGCACTGGTGTGGCAATGATCAGGAACATAGTTGCTGCATTACACTGGTCTGATAACACTAGGGGCTAAAGTGCACCAATCAGGAACACTGCTGCTCACTTACATTGGTCTGTTGACAGTGGGACTGGTGTGGTAACAATCAGGGACACCATTGCTGGCTTACTCTGGTCTGGTGACATTTTTACCGGTGTGGGGGAGATCAGGGCCAATATAATCAGTATGGCGGTGATCATTGACCGTGTAACTGGTGTTACAATATTTAAAGACAATGCGGGTGGTGTGGCATTGATAACGAACACTGGGACTGTTGTGGCAGTGATTAGGGGCACTGACTGGCAGCACTGGTTGGTGACATTGTACTGTTGTGGCGGTAATCAGAGACAATGGCTGGCAGCACTGGCATACGGTTATATCAGAGAAGTCGACCATTGTACATGATTTCCACCACTGCACTTGCTCTGGTGACACTATGTAAAAAAAAGTAATTTTTAAAAAATAATTTTTAGAACAATTTTTTTTACTATCACCAGAGCAGTGCAGTATCACCATAGTGGCACTGTACTGCTCTGGGGGGGTGATTGGTATTCTTTTTTTTTTACATTATGTTTGTTTATTACGGTTACAGTGCTGTGAAGAAGTATTTTCCCCCTTCTTGATTTTTTTAACTGCCTCCCGCCTGCCATATAGTAATATGACGGATGCAAGGCGGTTCTCTTGTTCTGGGAGGACGTCATATGATGTCCTCCCATTCTGATAGCGCATGCGTGGCTCCCGGAGCACGCAGCGTGGCGATCGGCGGTGCGCTGTGTCCCTCGAACACAGCGGATCACTGATCCTCGGAAAGAGCCGAAGATGTCAGCTCGGCCATTTGATCAGTTGTGTCCAATCACAGCTGATCACATGTAAACAGGGAAACTGCCGGTTAAATCGACATTTCTCTCCCCACGAGCTGTCACGCTGACAGCTCGTGAGGAGAGGAGAGCCGGTAATCGGCATTCCTCGGAGGGGACATGTACACTGATCATCGGAGTATTGATGATCAGTGTGCCCTGATGATCTGTGTAGCCCCAGCAGTGCCACCTGTCAGTGTTCATCAGTGCCAGCTCTCAGTGCTCATCCATGCCACCTGCCAGTGCCCATCAGTGCCACATTTCAGTGCCCATCTGAGCTGCCTTTCAGTGTCACCCATCAGTGCCAGTCAGTGCCACCTTTCAATGCCAGTCAGTGCCACCTATCAGTGCTGCCAATCAGTGCCACCTACCAGTGCCAGTCAGTGCCACCTATCAGTGCCAGTCAGTGCTGCCTATCAGTGTGCATCAGTGCCGCCTATCAGTGCCCACCAGTGCTGCCTATCAGTGCCGCCTATCAGTGCCATCTATCAGTGCCGCCTATCAGTGCCATCTATCAGTGCCGCCTATCAGTGCCATATATTAGTGCTGCCTTTCAGTGCCCATCAGTGATGCCTGTCAAAGCCCATCAGTGCCACCTACCAGTGCCTCCTCATCAGTGCCCATCAGTGCCACCTATCAGTGTCCATCAGTGCAGCTTAGTGCCTATCAGTGCAGCCTCATTAGCGCACATCAGTGAAGGAGAAAAATCACTTATTTACAAAATTTTATAACAAAATCTAAGAAAAAACTTTTTTTTCCCCAAAATTTTCAGTAGTTTTTGGTTTGTTTAAAAAAAAAAAATAAAAAACCCATAGGTGATTAAATACCACCAAAATAAAGCCCTATTTGTCACAAAAAAGTGATAAAAATTTCATATGGGTACAGTGTTGCATGACCGCGCAATTGTCATTCAAAGTGCAACAGCGCTGAAAGCTGGAAATTGGCCTGGGCAGGAAGGGGGTATAAGTGCCCTGTAGGCTAGTGGTTAAAGGTTTTTTTTTGCATATTTGTCACACTTAAATGATTCAGATCATCAAGTACATTTTATTATTACACTAAGATAAATGATGATTTCATTTTTTACAGGAAAAAAGCTGTCCAAACCTGCCTGGCCTGGTGAAAAGTCATTTTGTCTTTTATTGAAGTGGCTTTCTCAGTTCTAATGAGTGTCAGAAATATAACCTAGCATTTATAACCACATTAGTAACTCGGAGCCTTATTACAGTCAAGGCTCCGAGAACATGAGGGGTGGTGACCTTTTAGAGCAGCTGAGGATTTTGGAAACTTGGAAAAGAAGATCAAAAAGCATCCAACTATTTAAAAATGCCTGCTACCCAGAAGACAACAGCACAGACCTTTAGGTCCCTCACCTTTCCATTTGTAAAATGGGACAGAAATTTAAATCTGCACTCCCTTTATTGTGTAATTATACCTTCATGGGCTTTTACCAGCATAAACATTTACTAGGCTTTCTGTGGTGTACATCACCACTTCTTCTGTTCAGATAATGTTCATCATTTCCAGGGACAATTCTGCCATAGTGGTAGTGGTTACCTTGGAGGACAACATAGTACTGCCCAGCATGTCATAGTTACTAAACTGACATTTATCCCTGGTTCACACTGAATTCACACAATTTCAAAGTGGCATGTCAATTCAAGTTCATGTGCAACTTTGCAGACATATGTGCGATTTCATGCTTAGATGTCTATGCAAGTCGCACCTGAAATAGGAAAAAGTAGTGCAGGAACTACTTTTCAAATTGGCGTGACTTTGTCGAAGTGCTCAAAAAACGCATGTAGTTGCCAATGTGTGGGGGTGCCATTAAAAATGAATGGCATCCCCTGGGCATCTGCTAAAGTGCATCATGTTTCTCTGCTTGTTGATAAAGCTTGCAATTTTGTGCACATTCTCAACATACATAGATGTGAAGGTAGTCTAATGCAGGCCATAGATGGGGAGAAAACCGGCCGATTTTTCTATAAAAAAACGAAAAATCGGTCGTTCAAGCAGCCGACGTTACCAGGAATGGTAAAAAAAATCGGTTGATTTTCATCCCGTCTACAGCCGGCATTAGTCTTTGTGTGGTTGGGTGCTAAATTTCAATCCCAAACAATTCACTTTTCTAAACAAAAACTGGGGTTTTGGGGGTATTATTGGAGCCATTAGGCTACTTTCACACTGATCCATAGCAAAAATGCTAAAAAAAAACCATGTATGCATTTTGCCACATTTGCTGTTTTTACCGCGTTTGTGGTGCATTTTACACAGGACATGTGGCTCAAAAACCACAGCAAAAATGTAATGCAGGTGCATTTTTTTTGTGTTTTTGCCACATTTTCATTGTATTTCAGTGGGAGGTGCATTTTTTTGTACCACACCAAACCTGCACCAAAAATGCAGCAAGCAGCATCTTACTAAATGGACCTGCAACGGGTCTGTTTGAAGAGTTCCATATTACATGATCGCACGTTTTTTTCCTTCTGCTTTTTTTAACACAAAAGTGGCATAAAAACGGATCAGTGTGAAAGCAGCCTTAGTGGAAAATTTCTAGCTGTCTTGCTACTGTGTAAGGCCTTCACACAGGTAGTTGTTCTGCCACTTCTAAATGCATATTTTTTTATTTTGAAATTCCAGCACTCCTGGCACAGAGATCACTTGCGTTTCTACATTGCGTTTATCTGTGATTACGTGCGTATACATGCGGCTGCGTTTAGCTGTGGTAGTACATTTTTGCCTTTTCTACAGCAGCTGTTTACTTATTTTTCTTACTACTTTGATTAACTACGTTTATGTACAGATAGTTGCAGTTCATCGCTCCTGGACGCCAACTTTATTTTTCTTAAACGCATAAAACAGTATGTTATGAAAACAAAACGTTGCTAAACGCAGTGTGAATGGAGCCATAGGGATGCATTATCTGCATTTAGCTGCAGTAAATAAGTTCCTCTAACCAAAGAATAAATGGTGAGTGCAAGACAAAAAAAGAAAAAGTAAAGCAGCTAGCCCCACGCCAAAATTTAAAAAAAAATGCAGCCGCCGTCAACTCCCCGGAAACAAAAAAAAGAGCTCCTGTCCCAATGAAGGCTCCCGCTGTCTGACAGCTCTTAAATAAGCTAAGGGGTGGACCCACCAGGTGACATCACCAGGTGACCCTGCCCTTTTTGACTTTATCAACCAGGAGTGCTGAGTCAATTATGTCCCCTGGTGACATTACAGGTTGCCCCGTCCCTTGGCTTATTTAAGACGGCGAAGCTGTCAGGCGCTGGGAGCCTTCGTCAGGAAAGAGCTCTTTTATTTTTTTCTTCGGGTTGGCAGCTTCTTTGTGATTGACGATAGATCTACTTTGGGGGACAATTTTAACAAACAAATGTTTTTAATAAAAGACTTGTCAAAAACTGTTGTGTTTTTCATCACTGTTTACAATTTTTTGGTGAGTGAGTAGAGGTACTCATTCACATGGGGGGGTGGGATCTTGGGGCCCCCTTGTTAAAGGGGGCTTCCAGATTCCGATAAGTCACACCCCACAGACCCCCACAACCACAGCCCAGATTTGTGGGGAAGAGGCCCTTGTCCTCATCAACATGGGGACAAAGTGCTGTGGGGGGGAGCCCCCTCTGCCCCAAAGCATCACCCCATGTTGAGCGCATGTGGCTTGGTATGGTTTTGGATGGGGAGGGGGGTGCGCTCGTTCTTTCCCCTTCTTTCCTGACCTGCCAAGCTGCATGCTGCATAAGGATCTGGTATGAATTTTGGGAGGGACCCTAGGTCATTTTCATTTTCGATTTTGGCATGGGCATTTTTCTTTTTAAATTGCTAGCAATATGATTCTTTATATTCGGCTGTCCGCTGACAGCAGATGACTCATTGGTTGTTAAGTACTCAGCGGCCACCTGCTCCTTAACAACCATGTTGCTTACTGGTTGTTAAGGATGCTGGAGGCTGCCCGCTCCTTAACAACCAAAGTCACACAAAACGCAAAATGCATAAAAAAAAATGGGGAAAAAACGCATCAAAAACAAGTGTGAGAAAAACACAAATTGCACCTGGAAAATGCATCAAACATAATCTGCATAGATGTGAACCTAGCCTGAAGGCAGGATCAACAGATTCTATGTTACAAAAAGGTGGAAATTAAAAAATATTGAAAATTATTTCAACAAATACACTGACATGCTAAACAATTTATAAGATTTTATTGACTAGGTGTAGATCTAATTAAAGTTATATGTTCAATCTAACATGAATAATGGTGGCAAATAAAAGCAAACTTAGAGAAATTCTTATTTGGACACTGCATAAGGAAATTCTGGAGAATAGGTTGAAAGCAGATTTTTTAGAAAGACTCCAATCCCCTGTTCTTTATAAAAAAGGTGAAACGACCCATGGTTATTTCCACAAGCCTTCACACAATTCCAGAGACGTGCAAATGGTAGAATTGACAAATCTCACCACTTGTAGACCCTCCAGTGCATCCTTGTGCCTTCACAGTATTCTCAGTGTAGTGAGTGAGGATCCTTCTTCCCCAACCAAACTCTCTGAAAGTTTCTAGACTGAGCTATAAATATAGAGTAACACACATTTCCTGCTCGGATTGCCACTGAAACAATCCCACTGAGTACATTAAACCTCTTCTAAGCTGATTATTTCTAATGAATGGTTTCAAAATACTGTATACACTCCAGTAACACAATACGGATTAATAATGCATAGTGTTTCCGCTACTTAAACTTGAAAACAGGTTTTTTTACAGCAAAAAAATAAATAATGAAATAAATAATTCAGAGCGGTAGATGAAATTAGTAGATTCTGATGGAAGTGGAACATTGCTGTGAATAGGACAGTGAGAGGAACCAATTACCAGTGGGAGAGAGGAGTTACTGATATAACAGGAAAGAGACTGCTGCGATAAGTACTATTGTAGCCTCCTTGGGAGCCTACTGCCAAATGAGAGCAAAAACTAGTGCCTTAAATAAAAGGCAATCGATCTCAATTAGGGTTCTCGGGACCCCAGTGGTGGAAACACATTCATTTGGTCAGTGCAGTCATGTGATATGCTGAAGGTGCGGCCTTGTTTGTTTAGATGCTTCAGTTTACTATGGAAAGCACAGAGAAATTATTGTATGTATTTGTACATATTGTAATGATTACCTAAACACCTTTTGGAATAGAAATATGAAGCTGCTGTTGCTTAAAGTGGTTCTAAAGGCTCAAGCTTTTTACCTTCTTTAGCCCCCCTAATCAGTGGTGTATTTAGATTTTGTGCTGCCCTAGACAACACAAAAATTTTGTGCCCCCCAATGAGAGAGCGAGAGAGTTCAATAAGTGTGTGTATGTATATATGATTCTCTCTCTCTTCTCTCTCTCTTCCCTATCTTTCTCTCTCTCTTTTCCCTCTCTCTCTCTTCCCGCTCTCCCTCTCTTCCCACTCTCTCTCTCCCTCCTTCCCTCTCTCTTTTCTGTCCTCCCATCTCTCTCTCCCCCTCTCTCTTCCCCTCCTCTCTCC